TATCATTACGCTTGAAAGCCTCACAAAAAGGCAAATCTTGTCCTCTTCGAATTCGAGGTCGAAAATAACCTCAGCACAAAATAAAAGCTTAAATCTTGGTTCTAGTCGTGAGTCGGTTAGATAGATGGATATAATGGATTTATGTTGGGATTAACAGGACTGGAGCACTCTTACGCCAAAGGAGAACCAATGCATACATTAAGTAGCTACATGTTTGAGAACTTTGACAAACACTTTTTCTTTATCAAAACTAAATAAACTTACGCATGATGCATGATCCTTCGCAGTGGATAAAATCAGAAAAATCAGACCTAAAAAAAATCAGGCCTGTACAGGATTCAAATCATATGAACTTCATATATTCATTGTATCTGATTTATCATCACGGGTTTATTACGAATCAACTTAACGGCCTGCTCCCAGTTGGCTTGTTAGCTCAATTGGTAGAGCGCTGCACTAGTATCGCAGAGGTCAGTGGTTCGAATCCCGTACAGGCCTGATTTTTTTCAGGTCTGATTTTCGCTATTGCATAAATAGCGCTATCTACTGCGAAGGATCGTGCATCATACGTATTTAATACCGCAGTTCAAAATATATGAACTTCATATATTCATTGTATCTGATTTATCATCACGGGTTTATTACGAATCAACTTAACGGCCTGCTCCCAGTTGGCTTGTTAGCTCAATTGGTAGAGCGCTGCACTAGTATCGCAGAGGTCAGTGGTTCGAATCCCGTACAGGCCTGATTTTTTTCAGGTCTGATTTTCGCTATTGCATAAATAGCGCTATCTACTGCGAAGGATCGTGCATCATACGTATTTAATACCGCAGTTCAAATTATATGAACTTCATATATTCATTGTATCTGATTTATCATCACGGGTTTATTACGAATCAACTTAACGGCCTGCTCCCAGTTGGCTTGTTAGCTCAATTGGTAGAGCGCTGCACTAGTATCGCAGAGGTCAGTGGTTCGAATCCCGTACAGGCCTGATTTTTTTCAGGTCTGATTTTCGCTATTGCATAAATAGCGCTATCTACTGCGAAGGATCGTGCATCATACGTATTTAATACCGCAGTTCAAATTATATGAACTTCATATATTCATTGTATCTGATTTATCATCACGGGTTTATTACGAATCAACTTAACGGCCTGCTCCCAGTTGGCTTGTTGGCTCAATTGATAGAGCGCTGCACTAGTATCGCAGGGGTCAGTGGTTCGAATCCCGTACAGGCCTGATTTTTTTCAGGTCTGATTTTCGCTATTGCATAAATAGCGCTATCTACTGCGAAGGATCGTGCATCATACGTATCACTGGTTCTATTTACCTTGCTACCGTGGGTCTTTCTTTCGCATTGTTTGTATTTATACGGTCCGCCATAATGTCTGGAAACGAGCCTTCAACCGGTAAATCTTCTTCCGAAGGGAGCGAAGACGTTTGCAGCAGTGATGGAGAGGATTACTATGTATTTAATGGCAATTTTGCGCCATACCAAGGCGAGCCCTTAGCTTCTAGTGAAGACGGCGATAACAATGGCGGCGGCGAAGATGAACAAGAAGACGAAGACGGTATTTTTTCCTCCGTTTTAGAACAACGTTTCGGACAAGTTCCTTTAGACAATTGATGAGAGCTCATAGCTGTGATTTTTTTTTTCGATTGAACCTTCAGGCTTAAGTCTAAACATTTCTGTTTACAGGTGTACGTGTGGAAATTGCAGTGTTACACACTTAGCTGGGGCGCGTGACGTTAGATGCTGTTACGAAATACTCCAGACGAGAAGGAAGTTTACATTTATCGGTCTTGATTCGGAATGCATTTGGAACCATCCCGACTTTTCTCCATTAACAAACCGTCCTGTTCTTGAAGCAACAAACTGCGTATTTATTCCTCCGGTCCAAACGCCAAGCGGAATTTCACACCGTTTGTAAACACACACTTACAATTCTTTGCTCACACGAGGAGAAGGCATTTTCTTGCTGCTGTACACCATCTTTGGTTGGCACAGCATCCTTCTTTAACCGCTTTGTTTGAAAGGAAGCTAGAGCCTTCCCCAGGATTTAGATCGAGTCGCTGCTCAAAGTTTGACAATTCAAAATGCACGGAACTCAGTAGTGATATTTTCGATGGCTGCCACTTTGCCCGATGTCTTCGCACGAAGCGAACCCATTTCTCGCGAGTTACATCGTGACGAGGAAACATATGCATCGATAGGCCCTCTCTTCTGACGTTATTAGTACAACTTACATTTCCGGGCCCACCAGCAACACAGTACTTGCCAAAAACTTTTTTGGGGGCTTCTTAACAATTTCGCCGCACTCCATGCTCACTTGGGGTTTACTCGGAGTTCTGAGATGTATTCAACCAGTGACGTCACAACATTGTTTTGGCCGCGCCAAGATGGCCGCCAATTTTGGGCTCGACTAGCCGAGTTTAAAGGGCTAGAAGAAAGTTTTCCGCGCTCCGTTGGACCTAAAAAAAACTCACAGCGCTTGTTAGTAAGGTTCAAACTTTATTATCATGCAAAAATCTCACATACGAAAATTTCGTTTCAGTGGCACTTTAAATAGTAATTCTAGCATTCGTCTGTTACGATAATTCTCAAACATGCGCCTTAGAAGTATTTCTTTTATAAAATAGATGGAAAATGAAAAAGCAGTTTCACGGATTGTAATTATCTCGAAAATCGAATACTCCACGAGAACCCTACTGACTTTACTTCTCACAATAATTAACATAGATGAAGTTCGCAAGGTTGGATACTAATTTTAATCGTCTTGCGAAAATTAAGAGATGACTGAGTTTCATGCATCATATCTTCACATTAGTTAAATATTTATACATAGTCAACACATTGTCACGAGCCCCTCTGGAAAGAACTCTTTGCTTACAAGAATTTTCCACTGTGCAGCCTAGATTGCAATGAAATATTTATGCATCAAGACATATATTTAAATTTATGCCTTGAAATTCTATCATCCAATAACTATAAACTATCAAGCATAATCGACACAATACTTTTGTCTGAGAGGCCAAACATGCACATGCGTACGGGCAGTGAACTTTGATATACTTATCAAGTAAGTCCAGGTAGGAGCAGATATGTAACGAATTTGAGGAAATAAATGATATTTTTAAAACTTTTAAAATGTTTCGGAAATGTTTCGACAGTAACTACCGTCATCTTCAGTTAAAATATATACAAAATACAAAGTTGAATTCAAAGTGTACACAGTACTCATGGAACAAAACAACAATAGAGACAATTTGACAATAACAATAGAAAACACTTTGTTGTTTTGTCCCATGAGATTGTGTACAAACTTTAAAATCAACTTTGTACTTTGCAAGTATTTTAACCGAAGATGGCAATAGCTATTGTCCAAATAGGTCTTTTAAAAATATCATTTATTTTCACAAACTTGTTAAGTACCAATAGGAATTAATGGCACTCCTTATTATCTCTTTCACGTACATAATTATCTGAATAAGTATAAATCTACCACACAAACACGGTGGAGCTGGCGAATATTTTTTGTGGTAAACTCAGCAATTTCTGTTTATGATAAACCACGCATGCGCCTTACAACATTTATTTTTATGTAGGGGTCGAAAAACTCTTCGTGAGCCTCAACCTTATTATTGAAAAATTGAATTTTAGTCGATATATCCAGCTGCAGTGTTGTTGTTACGAGAAGGGTTTTTAGGTAACTCTATGCTTGCACTTTCACTCGAGGTATGAACCCTGGATGTGCATCTGCTGCAAAACATAGCCTTGATCTTCCTCTTGAAACGGTCATTTAGAAGAGAATAAACAAGAGGATTTACAGCTGAATTAAACATGAACAAGGTGTCTGAAATGGCGTATGAAGCTTCCCCAAACATATGGACGTCGTAGTAGCTTAGGACGTAGATAAGAAGGCCAGTAATCCAACAGATCCCAAATATAGCACTGACGGTGATTACACTCAAAGTGACTCGTTTCCTAACCCTTAGGACACCCTAGAAATTAGAAAAAAAAATAACAAATCCAGTGGTCGACTTTCCTACTGAAGTGTTTGACCAAAGCGGCTATTTCGAAATTTCTGTGTGATAGAATATGCAGACTCAAGATTGGCGTTAAACATGAAACGCATTATAATACTTCAATGCTAAATTGCCGAGGAACTCGACCTTTTGCAAGATCTATGTCAATTTTCGTTCATCTGAAGGTTTCTCTTTTTTAACGCGACTGTTGGTGGCCTCCCGTGTAGTTTCTGTAATGGAGTGCACTAGATAATCTCTTGCTATTCCTTAACTGGTATTTTTGAAGTTAAGGCCTGGTTCTTACCTTCTGACGATAGGCGAGTTCCTGATCATCATTTCGTTTAAACCACAAACTATGAACAACGCTTGAGTATAAACCTGTCATTATTGTTAAAGGAATACAGGCTAACAGTACAAGCCACGTGGTCTCATTTGCCACACCCATCCACTGTTCAGGCCAATCCCACTTGCAGTCACCACTTTCGTCATCGAATGTCGTCACTGAGATCATTGGCGAATTCAAAGCCAGTGCAAAGATCCAACATCCACAAATGATGATCTGAAATTCATTATCACCGTCGAAATTTTAGTGACACACTTTAAAGTTATAAACTGAGCGTTTTACGGTTGAAATATTTCTTGGAGCAAGCTAAAAAGAGAAGGACAAGATTATAAGCGTTTTTATCACCTGATACTTTCTTACCTTCACTACACGCTTGTTGAGTTTTCGTCTACTACCAATAGGACACATTACAGTGTAGTAGCGTTCAATTGCTATTACAACAAGCGTCACAGAAGACGAAGCCGCACCCACCCAGGCCATGTTTCCACTCGTTAGAAATTTGCAAATATTTGAACCAAGTGCTCCATCTGGATGGGTGAAGAGTTTTTTCAAAACATGGTTAGGTGCTACAAATGCTGCGAAAGTGATGTCTGATATGGCCAAGTTTACAAGCAGATAATTGATGGGAGTTCTGTCGGATAAATGTGATAAATGATGGAAAAAGGTTATGGATGGTAAAACAGACAAACAAACAAACATTCGAACAAAAAAGAAGCATGATGACTGCAGGGATTTTAAACTGCTTCTAAACAGGCTCAACTCACCTCATATCTTGGTTTGTCTTTATGACAAAACAAACCAGACAGTTACCAATGATGTTCGCAATGATGAGTAAGGTAAGAATGACTGTCAGGGCAACGTCAGACATTTTGAGAGGCTCTCAAAACTGCTGTCGAATGACCTGCTAAAGAAACAGATATTCCGGTCATTACAATCCCTGCTTATAAAAGTTTTTGCAACAAGAAAATGTATAAAAATAACTCGACAGCGTGTCTAATGTAGCTGATTTGACATAGTTAGGTGAAATCAATACAGGATTACTGAAGACGTGCACGTTCTCTGGCGACGTCCGTCAACTCTGCTTGTTTAAGGTTACCGTGCACCTTCAGGGGTGTCTCGCGTGCAAGCGATGTAGCGCGTCCGATTTAAACTGTAGATATCAACCCCTATATCAAATCAAAGCTTTTAGGACTGGAAAAAAATATACCAAAAATTTTGAAAAAAGTGAATTGTCGAATTTTTCACGACTTCTAAATGCGAGCGCCCGAATCACCTTATGAACGTTATATGTTAAAGCGAATTTTGTTTTTCGCTTATTTAATATGTTCCTCCATTTCCGGGGCCAAAGCGCTAAAAAAAAAAATATCTGCGATTTGTCATAATCAATTTCAGTGAAAAGTTACAGAACAATTTTTAAATAGGATTAAAAAAATGTGGGGTGATAGTACAAAAATGGCTCTTGAAAAAAAAGGATTTAGAAATAAAAAATTCGGAGACACGTTTTTGTTGTTTATATGTAAAACTAGCTACTGTCAAAATTTGAGAGCAAGCGAACAAGTTCCCTTTGACTTGTACCTCTTAAAAGGTGATTCGGGCGCTCGCATTTAAAAGTCGTGAAAAATTCGACAGTTCATTTTTTTCAAAATTTTTGGTATAGTCTGATAGCCAGTCCTATAAGCTTTAATTTGATATAGGGGTTTAGATATCTACAGTTTAAA